CATTGCATGACACGGGTGCACTTATCTATATGCAGGGAATACACACATACACAGAAAATAAAAATAATAATAATTTTTAAAAAAGAAGCAGGAATTTGTAGGAGATTTTCTAGGATACCTTCCAAGAAGAATGTAAAATGAAATTTAATAATAATATGAGAAATGGTATCAAAAGTTTCTGACTCTAGAAGGAAAAGTCTTTTCAGAGTTGGAAAACTAAAAGATAGCAAAAAAGGAAAAATTCAACTTTAAGGAAAAGAAATACAATGTAATTTTCACAGCAAAGTAGGAAAGAATAAAAAAGAACAAAAAAAGAAATAGAAATTGGCAAGTGAAGCTTGGAAATCTCAGTGAAATACTTCTCAGTTAAGAGGAAAAAGAAATGAAAAAAACAGCCAGTTGGAAAATGAGAGCCAATTTCTGTTTAGACTAAAAGTATTCCTAGAAAGTCACACTTACCTCAAAAAAGAACAGGGAGCATTTTTGTGCATTAAAAATAGGAGATAAAAGGCAAAAAACTGGAAACCTGCGGCTGCTGAAATGTCTGGGTTTCGAGAAAGAGGTTTGCATAAACTTGACTTGAAAATTTTAGATAGACAGGTAAAGGCAGATGAAAAGGTAGAAAAATACAGAAGACTGGAAAAAATGGTAACAAAAGGTTGAAAATAATGTTAGTAGAGAGCCTTTTAAGTTTTAAACACCTAACAAAGGTTGGGAATAAACCAGAACTATAGGCCCAGGAATGGAGAGATGTTTCAGGGGTTAAAACATTCCTGAGAGACTCCTGTTCTGATCTTGGTATCCATGTCCTACAGCAGGAGGCTCAAGAACACCTGTAACTCACTTCTAAACGGATCCAGTGGCCTTTTCTGGCCTCCATGGGCATACACACATACATTCTCAGAGACACACAAACACACACATATCCCACATAGGGCTATTCCAACCTGGAGATAAAGAATATAGAAAAGAGTAAGACATAACAGAAATGTTATACATTTGATGGAATTGTGATTCATTCAGCTACATCAGGGGAAAAAGATTAGCCTGGTTCCCTAAAGATTACTAGCCTAGGGGCAAGAGAGCTAGCTCAGCTGTTAAGAGCACTGACTGCTATTGGAGTCCTCTCCTGCTCTTGGACCTGGGTTTGGGTCCCAGCACCCACATGGCAGCTAACAACCATCTGTAACCACAGTTCCAGGGGATCTGATGTCTTCTTGTATCTGTGAGCATTGCACACATAGGTGCATTTGCATACATGTAGACAAAGATATTCATACACAATTTTTTTAATTGAAAAAAAATCACTATCCTAGTTAGCATGCTTATTGTTTCTATGTGAACCAAGAGATGTTAACGTTTCTGGGACTGGAGAGATAGCTAAGCAGTTAAGAGCACTGGTTGCTCTTGCAGAGGACCTAGGTTCAATTCCCAGCCATATTCCTAGCAACCATCTGTAACTCCAGTTCCAAGGGAATCTGATGTCATATTTAGACCTCCTTGGGTATTGCATAACACAAGTGCACTTACATGCAGGTAATATACACATACACATAAAATAAAAAATAACAAATATATTTTTAAAAAGAGATATTAACTTTTTTAGAGAATTGCCAGTATTTCTTGCTTCTACTACAAGAGAAGTTAAGTCATATATTGATCTAGTATATATGTAAAAGTAATTTAAATAAGTTTATTAAAACAGACAAAAGAAAAACAAACCAAAAAACAGACAAAACATCTCAAACTTATTTTTGTCATGGCATAAAAAATAATACTTTTAAGCCAAATATTTTTAGTTTTTGTAACTCATAAGCAAGTCAATTAAAAAAACCTGTAAAGTATCCTTTGTAAAAAGTTATGGTGAAATAATTTAGTATGTTTCCTAAGTATAGGAAATAGGTGGTTTGTGAGCTATCACATTTTGTGTAAGAGACATCTTGCATTTGTTTGAGGTAGGCTTTGTTTTATATATAAGACATTAATTTTACAAATATTAATATACACTATTAATTATATTAGTGATATCAACCCTTGTTTTCCTTCAGCTACTCCACATTTACCTTCCGTTTTTCTAGCGTATACATATTTATAAAATATTTTTGTCTTAAAAAAATAAAATTGAAGTAAAATTTACATGGAAGACCTAGGTCACACAATGACTAAAGAAATTTCAATAAAAAAGAATGAAGTGGGAAAATTCTGTCAGATATGAAAGCTTAATATACAGCTACAGTAATCAAGAGAGTATAACATTAGCAGAAGGACAGTAAACAGCTCAGTGGGAACAGATGTACACTAACTTGCCAACTGTCCTTGACAAAAAGCACAAAAACAGTTCAGTGGAGGAAGGATAGCATCTTCAATGAGGGGCTGTAGCAACTGCACAACAGGCAAATAAATAAGCCTCAAACCGATCTTCACAGTGTATATATATATATAATTAACTCAAAAGGACTTAAATATAAAAAAATAAAACTATAAAGGATTTGGGAAAAAATCGTAAGTACCCAAAGCTAGTTAAAAATTCCAGTCTTCTCAAGAAAGCCATAAACTGTAGCACGAAAAATTTGATCCCTGATCCTGTTCCCATTGGCTTTCTTTGGGCCTTGGCCATATCGGGCTGATGTGAGTTAGCCAGATACTGCTGCGCCCATTCCCGTTCATCTTCAGTCCAGTTTTGGGTTCATCTTCAGTTCAGCTGCTCCAGAGCTCAGGCCTTCTCTGCTAGCTAGTAAGAACCAGTCATCCTGTTTGAGTTGGCCCTCCTTGTGCCTTGGCTCCATCCTGTTAAGGCTGTCAGAGAGCGCCTGACTATTACAGAGTTAGAGATGCAGACTATTACAGAGTTTCAGAACCCGTCAAATGAAGAGAATAAAAGTGTCTATGAGACTCTTAACTGGAAATGACACATCTTCAATGCAACCGCTACACATAGGATGAATGCCTCTCTCAACTCTCACTAGAGAAATTTTCTTATGCAGCAGATAGTGATTAATACAGAAACCCAGGTGCCTGTTCTGGCCTCCCTCTGGCATAGGGGCTGAGAATGCAAGAGCCTGCCTGAGAGCGCCCAGATCCTGTTTTCACGTGGTGAAGCCTTTGAGACGGAACTGACACTGATTCTAACCACTCCAAAAGCTATCAAAGTGTCTGAAAGTAAATCCTGAATCCACCACTCTCGAGTCCAGCTTTGGCAGACAAAAGAAAAATGAGGAAGAACCCAATAAAGGGATGCTTTTGGAAACTCTCGTCAAGAAATTCCTATGGACTCTCATATGAACATTTGAAATTTGCCCTGTTCTGACTTTTTCTAGTTGCCTGTCTAGAATCTGTGATGCTAATTACTCTTGCCTTTACTTCTCCTATTCATCAGTCAAGGACTTTCTTTTCCCCCTACAGATAAGAGTTATGCAATTTGGGAGTCTTTTAGTTCGACCCATTGAAGGGGTACCCCAATTGCCTCACCATGTGTCCCTGTTCAGCATGGAAGAAGCCAGAGCAGTCTGCATCCTGATTCCCTATCCGCAAGTTGAGTAACATCTTCAGAGGATGGTATGATAAGAATAAGGGGTAGGAATTGGCTAGGTAGTTAGGGTAAAAAGACCCCAAAGAAAAGTAACCAGTTTCTTGGCTAAAAGTCAAAATGTCCTTGGGCCCCTTGCAACATACTCCATTCCAAAGGCCAAAACTGTTGAAAGAACTTGGGAGCTTGTATCTAATACTTAAAAGATTTTAGGGTTACCTCTTCAGAGGGGGGAATGTTAGAGTAGCCAAAAGTCCCATAAAAATAAATAAATCAAAGAAGAAAAAGAGTATATGAAGTTATCAGAAGAAAGTGATGGGGAGATATGGGAGGAGTTAGAGGGGAGGGAGTAAGCATGGATTTGATCAAAACACCTTATATGCATGTATGAAATTCTCAATAAATTATTTAAAAAATACAGAAACCCACAATTGGCCAATGTGCAGAGAACAAGAGGGAACATGGTACTTATCCCTGAATGGGACACCCATTTCAAACCTCTGCCTCCCAATGCTCAGGAATCATTGTGGAAGAGGAGGTGAAAAGATTGTAAGAGACAGAGGGGTGGATCACCACAGGGAAACAGAGTTTTCTAGACAGCTGGTCAGTTACTCATATGAACTCTCAGCAATGGTGACAGCATGCACAGGTCCTGTGGAAGCTCAAATCAAAAAGTATCCCAGAATAGACATGGGGAAGTGGGTAAGAAATCCTGACCCAACCTAAGGAACTTTTGTCAAATGATGGTTGCTGGGAAGAGGAGATAGAGTGTCTTAGAGGCATGGGACTCTTGGTGGGTCCAGAGGATGGACCCATACTGAAGGACATTTGGGGACACAAATCAGATTCTATAGGCCATATATATATGCATTAAATTTGGTGGGGACATGGAGACGTGCGCATAGGGGCGAGGATCTAAATACCATCAAACTATATTGTATGAAAATCGCAAAAACTCAATAAAAAACATTTTAAGCTACAATGACAGCAACAATAACAATAGCAAAAACAGAATATTCGTAGAATGATAGCTAAGGACTGTGGAGACTGTGGAGAGTGGGTAGAAGAGGTGCAGATGGAATGATTAACGCATCCGTGTGAATATCACAACGAAATCTTTCAATTTGTACAATTTATATGTGATAATAAAATGAAGAGTACAAAAAGAAATCTAAAAGGTAAAAAATAAACAACAAAAAACTGATACTTACTAAAATTAAAAATCTTTACTCTGTAGAAGTCCACAGGAAGAGGATAAATATAGTACTTCAACTGGGAATAAGTAACTGCAAACCATACATGTGACAAAGCATTAGAATTAAGAATATATAAAGAACTCCCCTGATTCAATAGTTAAGAAAAAAACTAACTAAATTATAGCCTCACAAGGGCTCTCTCACAAGGGTGTATTTTCCATAAACTGAGGACACAACATAATACTCAACTGTACACAAAGGGAAGGAAATATCTTTACCTAAGGAAGTGGTCATCTTGTAGATATCCTGCATTACATCACTGTAGAGGGTCTTCTGAGAAGGGTACAGTATTTCCCATTCTTTGCTAGAAAAATGCATGGTCACACCATCAAGTGTCAACAAATTTTAAAGAACTACTTTGGTTCAGTACTTCTGACTGCAGAAGCTGTTCTGTCACCCGCCTGTGACCCATATGGAAGGCTAGATGAGGCTAGATGCTGAAGAAGTTAGTATTATAGGATTTAGGAGGGGGAGCAGAGATGACACAAAAGGAAGAGCCAAGTATATTTGTACATATCCTGGGAAGTAGCCAATTCCCATTCAAAATCATGCGAAGTTTAGTTGCCTGGAGAGCATTATAGTCTAACAAACCCCAGAATACGTAGTAGGCAGCATAATTCTTGGCATCAAGAAAAAACAAAAACAAGCTGCCTAAAAACAGGTGGAAAGTACAGCTCACCTGGTCCTGAGGCAATGTGAGCTCGATGCCATCTTCCCATCTTTGATGCTTTTCTGCTCAGAAGGGGCTGATCTATGTGGAGTATGCATAGCTGTAGGTACAAAAGACCCAGAGAAATATTTGCTTCCTGTTCATGAGCATGCTGAGATAATTACTACACAAGAATAGGGATATACCTTCACTAAAGAGGGGTCACCTTGGCAGGCGTGTGTGTAGTGTCCAGAAGCAGCTATCTCATGGAAAACCGACGCCAAATACCTACTACCACAGAACTCAATCTCAAGATTATTAGTTACTCATATTTCATGAGAACAATTAATAAAAAACTGAACTTCAGAAATTAAATTGTTTACAGAAATTGGTAAGCATCAAGAGGTTTTTTGAAAATAAAGGACCTGTGCTCTGGTGAACAGGAGGAAATGTAGGAGATATCTACCTTTTGTTGTTTTTTTCATGCAATTTTCTTCAAATTCTACCACTTTAACAACCCCTTTTATGATGTCAATTTCTCCTGTAACTTAGAAGGGTACAATGGCCCAAGCTGTCCCTTGCTCCATCTTCCTCTTTTGTCTTCAATTTCAAAGAAGCAGAGATGATAATATGATTTACTAGGACTCGTGATTTGGTAATTTTGAGACATCAGGCAAACTCCAACCACCACTACTCTACTGCACTCCCATGGGGAAACATAACTACTAGCATGGTCAGGCACATGGAAAACTTCCAGAATCATGTAGCTGAACAAATTACTATCATAGTTTCCAGGAGAACAGAATTATTATGAAGTTCCTTACCTCTTTCACATACAGGCTAGGTGTCTCTGTCAGTACACAAGCCCATCAGTTCTTATAATATATAGTAAGTAGCCCAATATTCTTGGTAGAATATGCCCAGTTGTGATAGCTTCTTCATGAATCTTGGGGTCATGGCTGCTGTTCCTGAGACTAGTCTCCTTTTCCAGCCTATGGGTAGTGACCTAGAAATAATCCCCACCTTCATTAGCACAACACTTGTTTTAGATGTTGGGGTAGGGGAGGAAGGAATTAAAGGAGAACCCAAAAGCATCCCTCTATTGAGTTCTTCCTTATTTTTCTTTTGTCTTCCAAGTCTGGACTAGTTGGCTGGGAAGAGTGGCTGGATACTCAGGTGAGGGTCCAATGACCCTGCTTGGCATTCCTTCAATGAATGAGCACAACCATCAACAAGCCCAATTGTGGCTATGTTTAGGACTTTCTTCTCCCCTTAGAGACAAGAGTTATGCAATTTGGGAATCTTTCAGATAGACCCACTGAAGGGGTACTCCAATTGCCTCACCCTGTGTCCCTGTTCAGCATGGAAGAAGCCAGAGCGCTGCACACCTATTCCGTATTGGCAATTTTGGTAACCCCTTCAGAGGATGGTGTGATAAGAATAGGAGGTAGGAAATGACTAGGCAGTTAGGGTAAAAAAACTCAAAGAAAAGTAGCCAGTTTCTTGGTTAAAAGTCAAAATGTTCTTGGGCCTCTTAGCAAAATACTTTGTTCCAATGGCCAAAAATGTCAAAAGTATTTGGAAACTTGTATCTAATCGTTAAAAGATTTTAGGGTTACCTCTTCAGAGGGGGGAGTGTTGGAGGGGAAGGGGTGGGCATGGATTTGATCAAAACACCTTATATGTATGTATGAAATTCTCAATAAAGTTTTTGGTAAAAAAAAAACAAAACAAAACAAAACAAAAAAAAAACAGAAGAAGAAGAAGAAGAGAGAGCCCAGATCCGAGTAGTGTGTGACTTTGAAGGAACTAATAAAAACTAACAGGATACTGTTACTATGATCTTAAAAAGAGGTATATGCAGAGCCTTGGAGTGAAGATGCAATGAAAACAAACCCAGATTTCTTCCAGGTCTTCAACCCAGCAGCCTCCAGCCCTGTGTACACAGACATTGCTGAAGACACTATGAGTGTTGGGCATGCTGGTGAGTGGCTAAAGCTGCCTTCACCACTTGCTTTCTTAACTCTGATCCCTGCCTAAGTGATTTTTCTCTTTTCATAGCCAGGCGTGGTGGCTCATGCCTATAGTCCCAGCACTTGGGAGGCAGAGGCAGGCGGATCTCTGTGAGTTCAAGGCCAGCCTGGTCTACATAGTGAGTTTCAGGACAGCTGGGGCTACAGGGAGACCCTGCTTCAAAAAGACAAAAAAAAGATAAGGAGTTACATTTAAAAAGTTTTAATCAGGGAATGATTTCATGAGGGAAAGGGGATGAAATGTAGGAAAAAGTGAAGGAAGAGATGCACTCCAACCTCCCTCGACATGATTTAGTTACTGTAAGACATCAAAAGCATACTCTGGCTGGATGTAATGGAGCATACCTTTAATCCCAGCACTTGGGAGGCAGAGGCAGTTGATCTCTATGAGATTGAGGACTGTTCTACATAGCAAGTTCTAGACTGGCTGGGGCTACAGGGAGACCCGGTCTCAAAATAACAACAGAAACTACTACTACTACTACTACTACTACTACTACTACTACTACTATTACTACTCTGCCTTATAGTCTTAAGTTGACTCCTGAAGAGAAATAGTGCCATCATCCAAAGGCAGGCCTTGGTTCCCCTACTCCCTTACAGCACCAAGAACGTGCCACTGGGACAGTAAAGTGGAAGAGGCTGTTTTCTCCCAGCCTAGAGGTATGTTTTTTCATCTTGAAGGACACTGCCATCAGCATCCAAATTCTCTCTACTTCTGTTTGTATTTTTCTTTAAAGCCTCTGTTTCCTTTGGCTTTCCATGGTTTCTCTTCCTTTGGAGTCTCCAACAGTGGTCTGATCTCCACACTCTGTTCTCTATACTCTATTTGGGTCTCTGTAAGTACAGTCCATTTTTGGGCTTTGTTTTCTTTCCACTCTTTCTTGCCTTTTATTTCTCTGTTTCTAAGATCCACAGTCTTGCCTTCTAGAGCAGACCCCACCCTCAAATCATCCTTACCGTAAAGTGGAAAAAAAAGACTTTTTTTCTCTAAGGCCATGAAAGACTGCCAGGAACTCAGCCTTATGGACATACTGTTGACACATGACTGATTGTGGATCCTGTCTGGCTATTCTAAAGGAACAACAGAAGTTTGACCTCTCTCTTTCTGGTAACCCCATCCAAGACAAATCCACCTTCATCCTCTTTCATTGTCCATTACAAAGAATTCTTAGTCTCGCCTTGTTCTGCATTTTGTCAGGTTCTTTCTGAAAGCATTCTGCCAGAACCACAGCCATTTTGATGTTCTCTGGATGATGCTTTTGCACCCAGTTCTTGACCTCCTTGGGAAGAATGGCCAGGAACTGCTCTAGCACCAGATGTTCCAAGATCTGCTCTTTGGAGTGGATCACTGGTCTTAGCCACTGATGGCATAATTTCTGAAGCTGGCTGGCAGTCTTTCTTGGTCCAAGTACTTCATTGAAATGGAAGTTCTGGAAGTGCTGGTGAGAACTTTCAGGACGAAGATTTTTTTATCTGTGAGCTGCATTGCTGACTCTGCTTTGAATACTTTACTCTCTCTCGCATCCCCCATGTGAGTGCTGAAACACTCATCTGCCTTCATCTTACTATTGCTTGCTATAGGAGCAGCGTTACTATTCTGTGTGACAGTGGTATCTCCTTGGTGCTGCCTAGGACGACTGAGGTATCATCATGTTTGGCACAAAAACAGATGAATGACTCTTCTTCCTAAGGACAGATAGAGAAAGAGGCAGGGAGAGAGAAAGAGGGAGGGACAGTGAGAAGGGAGGGGGGAGGGAGAGAGATAATGGTTACTTGACAGATGTTCACTTGCTATTTATTACTAAAGACAAATGAACAGGAATGCTCCTGCCTCCCTTTAAAATTCAGCAGTCAGGGGGGCTGGAGAGATGGCTCAGCAGTCAAGAGCACTGGCTGCTTTTTAGAGGACCTGGGTTCAGGTCCCTATAGGCAGTAGCCATCCGTAACTCCAGTTCCAGGGAATGGAACTGATGCCCTCTTTTGACATCCGCCAGCATTGCATGACACAAGTACACTTCCATACATGCAGGCAATACATTCATAACTTAAAATAAAAATAGTAAGTAAAATATTTAAAAATTCAACAGTTAAATATTAGCACACTCACGCTAATACATTACTTCACTGGGCCTATTTCTCTCTTTTTATTTGTTATTTAACATTAAAGTAAAATATAGCTCAATGAAGGCATATGTCAAACAATGCCCTCGTTTTGTTTAAGAGTTTAGGAAAACTCAGTGGAGGAGAAAACTAGTCCGCAATGGCCAAAGGGAGCTCTGAGATAATCCAATGTTTAATCTGTGTGCTTCCTGTCCAATTTTCACAAATAAGGCATCTTTGAGTTCCTCTAAAACTTAACAGGTTATCCTAGTCTTTCATCTTCACTATGCCCTTTAATACTTTAGTGAAAACTGAAACTTGTACTTCATGGACTATTCAATCTTCCAATTTCCACTGTATTAATATTGACAGGAAAACTGAGACAGTAAGATCTGAGATATAATTAGAGAAAAAGTAACGAAGTTCATCCTAGCAAATATCCTCCCAAGATGGAACCAGACCATTAAAATTTGCAGGATGAACTACTTTGGAATATGTACAAAGAAAACTGTACATATTTGTTCTGGTGTATTAAAGTGTTTACAACTGGAAAAAAAAAACTTATGGTGGCTATCCTTTATTTACAACATATTTAAATGTCATGTCACTGAAAATGAGAGAGATGGTGATGATTAAGGTTCTTACAAGACAGGAAGGGTACAAATAAGCATAAACCTTCTCCTGAATCCACGTTTTCTCAGGATATGACTCTATATATTCTCCAGGCTAAGGATAGCCTGGATAGCCGATTTTCTCAGTGGTGATTCAGCAGAAACAGCAACAAAACTCTTTCTGAGGATGCCACAGGTATTCGAAGATGTGCTTGGTGTCTTGTCCATCCAGGCACAGGAGATACTGTGGCACTTTCTAGATTTTTGTGTCAACAGAAACCAATGTGTCTTTAAGGCTAAATGAACCTTTCTCCAGCCTAATGAGCCTGAGCTAATGGAAACAGGGGCGTTTCATTGGGTGTAGTGGTAGACATTACTGCCTCAGTCTACACCACCAATTTGTGACATTTCTACATAGACCACTGTGGTGTCCATAAACACTGTACATGGGTGCAACCTGTGATTGTGCTTCCCCAGCATTCTGGGGTTGCATATGTACAGAAAGTACGTTGGTTTTGAAGGTTGGGACAAAAAGCCAGCTGTGGTGGTTCATGTCTTTAATCTCAGCACTCGGGAGACAGAGGCAGGTTATGAGATCCAGGCCAGCCTACTCTACACAGTGAATTCCAGGCCAGCTAGGACTGCAGGGAGACCCTGTCTCAAATAACAAAACAAAAAACAAAACAGTTAAGAAGTGACTGAAGGAGTCTGCATTTGATCCTTGCTGAGAACAGATTCTGAGGCAGGATGATTAGTTAGGAAATGGGACATGAGAAATTAAAGGGCTCCCCTTCAGTGTCTTACTTCTTATTTCAGTCTCTGACTGGCTGACACATAGGAATTTTGAAATAAATAACCAAGCCACTTGTAAAAGACCTTCACTTCCCTTTTTGGAAAACTTCACAGATGACATTGTTAAAAATGGTTTATGAGGGGCTAGAGAGGGAGAGCTGGCTCAGTGGTTAAGACTGTTTTGCTGTTCTTGCAGAGGACCCTAGTAATGTTTCGAGCAAACATGCCAGGCAGTGTACAACAGCCTGTTACTCCAGTTCCAGGGGATGTGAAGCTCTCTTCTAGCCTTCGAGATACCTCCACACATGTGGGATATCGACACACAATCAAACACACAAATATATGCCCATAAAATTTTAAGAATAATCTTGTAAAAAGAGCCAGGCATGGTGGTCTACACCAGTAATCCCAGCACTCAGGAATCAGAGGCCTGTGGCTCTCTGAGAAATGGATGCCAGCTTGGTCTACATAGCAAGGTCCAGGATAGCCAGAGCTACAGGGAGACCCTGTCTCAAAAAACAAACAAAGAAAAAAAGAGCTAGCAACATGGCACAACAGTAAAAGGGTTTGTCTCTAAGTCTTAAGACTTCAGTGTGATTCCTGAGACCCACACAGTGGAAGGCAGGAACCACCTTCAGTCTGTTATCCAACTACCCCCTTTGAGTGGTGGATGGTGTGTGCCTGCCCACCACATGTAAACACAAGATAAAGTAAATAAAATATTTAAAAAAGTCAATTCCCTTGTGTGTGTGTGTTAATAGGCTATTGGGGCTGGGGAGACTGGTCAGTGGTTACCAGTACTTACTACTCTTGCAGAGGACCTAAGTACAGTTCCAAGCATCCATGCCTGGAAGCTCACAATCACCTGTAACTCCAGCCCCAGGGCACCATCTTTTGCTCTCTGGGGCACACCAACATAAGTTGCATAGACACAAAAACACACGTACGTATGCACAGAAAAATAATAAAGAAATAGGGGTTGGAGAGATGGCTCAATGGTTAAGAGCACTAGCTGCTCTTGCAGAGAACCATGATTCAGTTCCCAGCACTCAGATGGTGGCTAATAACCATCCATAACTCCAGATCCAGGAGATCCTATGCCCTCCTCTGACCACTGCAGGCATTGCATGACACAGATGCATATAATACATGCAGGCAATACACTCATACAACAAATAAATAAATAAATAAATAAATAAATAAATAAAATAAATCAATCTTAAAAATATTTAGAAATTCAGCAACATGCCTCTGTGGGTAAAGGAGTTTGCTGCTAAGACTGAGGAACTGAGTTCAGCATTCTACACTTCACATATATACAGGATAAAAAAATAAATTAAAAAATGGCTAATGCAGGCATGGTAGCACATGCATTTAGTCCCAGCACTCAGGAGGCAGAAGCAGGCAGAGTTTGAGGCCAGCCTGGTCTCCACAGCGAATCCAGGCCAGCTGTGACTACAAGGAGGCCCTGTCTCAAAAAAGACCAAAAAATGGCTTATGGATCAAGCTTTAAGTCTAACCCTGCTGTGAAGTCTATGTAAGGTTAGGTTTGATCACTGTTTAATCTATACCATGATTACAAAACTACACAATGTACCAAAAAAATCTCTCTGATGACAGAACTCTGGATTAGAAAAAGGAGGATACCAGTCCACACTTGCCTAGTATTTGAACTTAGTTGCAGATTAAGGAGCTTCAAAGTCCCCCAAAGACTCAGATTTCTACCACAGAGGTACTTCAGTGGTCACCCCTCTCTGAATGCCAGAGTTGTGGAAATGTGTAGGGAAAAAAAAGGGTCATGCATCACCCACTCCCGCGCGCTACTGTGTAATGGCCACCAAGGTTCTAAATGCTCTCCCTCATGGGCTGTCAAACGTAATCTAAAGACAATCCTAGCTACTTGGTTATGTCCAAGTAACTCCTGGCTAGGTGGACCCAACTTTCCTTTTCTTTACCTCGACAAGCCTCCTCGCTGCTCTGTGAGTTGACACAGCCAGCCTCCTAATAAATCCCCACGAAGCCAGGGCTTCCTGAAGCCACAGCCAGGTCTCCCGCTTCAGTGTCTTCACTGAGTAGAGGACTGGACTGTCAGGCTTCCTCCCGGAAACCCTGGCTCCACTTTTCTAAAAAATGCCCATTTTTGTGTGCCTGTGTTTCCACATATGCACTGAGTGCATGCAGTGCTGCAGAGGCCAGAAGAGGGCATGGGATTCTCTGCATCTGGAGTTACAGGCAATCCTGAGCCACCATGTGGGTCCACAATCTTTAAAAAAAATCTTTGAATTATTTATTTTTACTTAAAAAATTTATCGAGTTTTTGTGCATTTCATACACTAAATCTTAATCAAATTTAGACCCCCCCACCATCTGTGACCCCGCTTAGCTTCCCTCACTTGATTGCATGCATTGTCATATATGTTAAATCCTATCCCATAAAGCATTAGTTTTACTTTTTGTGTCTGTATATTGCCTGTGTGTATATAGCTGTGTTCATGTCATGCAATGCCCACAGAGGAGAGAAAAGGTCATGGGATTCCATGAAACTGAAGTTACAGATCATTTTTAGCCTCCATGTGGATGTTGGGATTCAAGCAACAGTCTTCTGCAGTAGCAGCCAGTGCTCATAACTGCTGAGCCATCTCTTTAGCCCTAGGTCCTCAATCTTAACCTATGAGCAATCAGTGCCCCCAGAGGCCAGAAGAGAGAAAATTAGATTCCCTGGACTTGGAGTTAAGGGTGTGATTTCCTGATTCCTGCTCCTAAGGTCCCGTCTCCAGTTCACAAAGTAATGTACATCCTAATTTCCCTGCTGAGTTTCTGAAAAAGGGCTGACCTTACTGACAAAAGCCACAGAAGAATAATGCTCAGATGTTTAGTGTCATCTCAGCAGTGGTAGCTGCTTTTGGCTTTCTTGAGTCCCGGCCAGAGGATTCTGGCTGCTTTTGTCATACTTATCAGGA